AGGCTGCATATTTTATCAATTTCAGTTGAGTATAGCCAGTATTTACTGCTTCATTATAAATATAGAATTGGCCAAAGGCGTCACTTTGTGTTGAAAGGTGGGGACAAAAGGGCTCAGATTAGGGGCCCGATGATACACTTGTGTCACGAGACCTGACGATGCTCAAAAACAAGATGAGAAGATTTTTAACACTATTTTTAAGAAATATTAAATGCTAAAATCTTATTGGAGGATCCTCCCCCAATAAGATTTTGAGCATTAAACACTTCATTTCCTGCATTCTGGAGACATTGCTGCTTCAATTTAGGGTGGAAATGTCTTTATTTATAAAAAGAGAAACAAAAAACTTAAGCTGGCAGGTGACACAATTCATTGATAGAAAAATATAACAGCCTGTTACTTTTTTGGACAATGCACATTTGTTTTCTCTATATTTAAATTGCTTTGCATGTTTTCTTATTGTGCAAAGAAATCTTTCTCAAAGCATTTTCATTTATTAGTGAACATTTCTTGGTGCAAGCTGTTTTTCAGAACATTTTTAACAGTTGCTTTCAAAAAGTGATGGAGACAAAATCAGATTTCACATTGTGGTGGGGACATGTCCCCAGCGTCCCCAGTGTAAATGACACCTTCCCCGGCCACAGAAGAACATCCACATTACAGAAACATTACATTTTTAAATGCAAAGCACTTTGTGTTATATGGCCATTGTATGACAAATACAAATGAAGACTGATCGATTAATTGAGAAGAATACTACCAAATTGTAACATGAATTACAGATTACAAAAACAATTAGGCTCCATTTTGTGTTCTCAGGTGAATTCTCTGTCTTCCTAGAGTGGCCCTGGAGATGGACTGGGACAACGCTGCAACATTTCCTGGTAACATAAATGTCAACATCAATTTAAGTGGATTCATTATTTAACAATAAAGGATTCATATTGTATTACTTTTCCATGTGTATGGATTTCATTTGGCGTAGGTGGCACAAAGTTTCATAAATTGTTAAATCCTCCCAAATTGAGTACATAGTGTACTGTAGATTTTTGGAACAACAGGGAGAGGACACCACAATGTTTTTTGACCTTTTATCTTGCTAGGATCACTCCTCTTGTCACGATCCTGTCCTGAGTGCTGTGTTTTCGGGTTTGGTTTTGTATCTGCTATTTAGTCGGTTTTGGTTCAATGTCTTCGTTCTTAGTCCTGTACTTTAGTTCATGTCTTTAGTGTTTACTCCTGGTCTTGTGTTCTCTGTTTAGCTCTGTGTATTCCCTTGTTCATTTACTGGTTCTGTTCAGCTCTCTTTGTACCGGTCTGTCATGTGTTATAGATTGTTTCCTGCATCTCAGCCCTGTGTCTTAGCTCCTAGTTTTGTGTCTTAGTGTTTTATTCTGGTCTGTGTTCTGTCTGTGTGGGTTACTTGGCCCCATGTTTGCCTGTCAAGTGTTCCGTCTGTTTCCCCCAGTTATCACTCTGTCTGCCTGCCTCTTTGTTCCCCTTTGCTGTCTCTGCCTGCCTGCTTCTCTCTGTCTTCCCTGCTGTCTCTCTGCCTGCCTCGTAAGTCTCATGTCTTTCACCTGTGTTGCTCCCGCCCTGCTCGTTAGTCCCTGTGAATATATACCTGGTGTTTCTGCCTTGTCCTTGTTGGATCATTACCTTGTGCTACCTCCTGTTCCCTCCTGTTCCCTCGTGTTCCTCGTGTTCCTGTGTGCGATGTCCTGTTTTGTCTGCTCAGTCTTGTCACCCTGCTTTGGGTTTTGGGATTTCTGTTGGATAACTTTGTCTTGGACTCTGTTGATCAGCCACTCTGTAAGTGAGCTCGCCTTTTGTTGCCTCTAATAAACCACTGAACTGCACCAGTCAGCCTTCGTGTCCTGCGTTTGGGTCCACCAACCTGCCTACAACCTGCTCACCAAACCGCACCCTGACACCTCCGCTGGCAGCTGGGGACAGAATTAACGATTAAGACTTACAGTCTTGCTCACAGTGTGTGTTGAAACGATCACTTCTCTTTCTAGTTTCTGGATTTCCAAGTCAATTTCCTCAGTGTCTCTTTTTATCTTCATATGTAGGTTCAAGTCCTGCCAGAGGGGTTTTGGTGAATATTTAATTTTGTTAATTTATTCAAGTGTGTGCTGTACAGAGATCTGACTGTTTGTAAAACATATATCAGTTAGCACAGCAGGACCTGGTCACAGTGTGGATGTCCTTCAGGTAAAACAGCTTCAGGGTCCTGTTACAAATATGACACAGTATTTTCTATGAGGACCACGTCACTGACTTCTTCTCTAGTATCCATGTGGACTAAATAAGTAAACCATGTCCATAAGATTGACAAACTCCAGCCTCTCTCTGATAGGCCTTTGTTCCCTCTCCTGACTCGTCACTTCTGTCACTCTGCGACACAATTAGAAAATCAGGGCCACACGTCACACTGATATTATTTTGAACAGCAGGTTCATACAGTCTGTATTTCTCCATCCTCCCCACACTGAGGGAGGGTAGGGCTGTCCAGGATAACACCTGGGGGTGACCTCTCCAGTGTGAGCGGACCAGAGGTTGGATGCTGGAAACCACCTTGTCATCAGGTGACCTTACAGCGCGCTAAGAAAAGAAGCATTAAGATAGAGAAGGATAACAGAAACGTCGACCCTAGAAGAGCCCTAATCAGCTAATTGACCCAAAGCTTTCCTGAGCATTTAACCTCTGTCTTGTTCAGTGCATTTGACCTTTTAATCAATATTCTAATTTTTTGAGATGCACCTGTATTTAGCTACAACGTCATGTCACCAGTTAGTAATGCCTAGCGTTTATTCCAGATCACATGCTCTTTTTCACTTAAATTGGCATTTAAAGACCTGTTTCATGTATTTATTTGATTCTGGTTTCACGTCATATAACCCTTATTAAAACTAATTTATTTCGCTTTATTCGCTAATTAACAATGCTGTTAGAAATTTCCACTTACAGTTATCTCAAATTCAACACTTTAATGAGCATGTAATTTTATATAATCTTCTCTCTCTCATATATATATATATATATATATGTATGAGAGAGAGAGGGGAAACGCCTACAGGTGAAAGCTAGATAACAGTTCCTGTCTGTATTTGAGTGGCATGTTAATAATATTACTTGTCCCAGTAACTAAGTGGTGTAACTAATTACTTTTCTAAAACAGTAAAATTATTACAGTTACTAATCCAAGTAACGCTGTTACTGAACGCACCATCCTTGACTTGAATCCACGACTGTGCTGCAGCTCAGCGGGACCGGACTTTGTTGTTCATGTCGCTGAAGGAAGAAAGGAGAATGAGGGAGAGAGGCGTTCTTTCCACAGCTGTAAGTAGCTGCTGCCATTATTGTGTCACAGTCTAAGATGCAAAGAACATTGTGGTCTAGTGTAAACTCTGTGCGACCAGCAAAAAGCTTTCTACAGCGAACATTTCTACATCTGATCTATTGAAGCGTCTGCTGAAGCAGCACAGCGACGTGAAACTTACAGAAAAAACACACTCCTTGCTGCTGTTGAATATGATATTAGTTAAAAAGTCGGCAGAGACGCTTTGTTTGGGGGTGAAGGGGGGGTGGTAGTGAAAGCTGTGTTTCCCATAATTAGCCTATAATTTGGATAATTATCAACACAGACCGCCACATATTGATTTTATAATCATTTTTTTATTAGGTGTATTTAAAATCATTTTTGATTGAGGAGCATATATTCGTGCAGCACCTCCAGGCTCGCTCGCTCTTTCTCTCTCTCTCATGAACACCGCTTCTCAAACCTGTTGGAATATAACCCCACCCTGTCATTCTGTGGGAAACACTGGAAAGTATATAGAAACGTAACTAGTTACTTTTATCACCCAGTAATAAGTAAAGTAATAATATTTTTTAAGGACTAATAAGTAACTAGTGATATATTACAATTTCTGAGTAAGTTGCCCAACACTGCATGTGACCTAGATAAAGATTCATCTTCCTTGTAGGAAGCCGTCATTGAACAGAGGAGGGGGTCTACGCCACCACTTATCCCCCACTTACAATGCTGTCCTTTCATCACTTCCCAGGAAACTCAACAGACGTAACCTATTGGCCTCAGGTGAAGATACCAACGATGGTCGTTCAGTCTCGGCCACAGGTAGTCTTAACGACTGTAACGACTGTCGTCACAGCAACAAGGAACACTAGCGAACCAGCGGTATCGATGACCCGGGCCAACGACCCCACTGAGGTTAAATAGCTGAGTTTCCCTGCCAGTCAGTCAGAACTGAAGAAGTCCTTTGGATGAGGGACGAAACGTCTTCCAGTATCTTCAACCAAGTCCAGTTGCCCTTGATTTTAACCTTCGTTGGATAACTATGACCTGGATGACTGAGAATCTTCATAGACTTTTTGCATTATTGTCTTTTGGGTATTATTGTCTTTACACTTGTGCTCTACAAATAAAGATTATTATTATTATTATTATTATTATTATTATTATTGTAGAAGAGTAATGTAGTGGTAAAGAAACATAGGTGAAAGAGGCCGGACCACCATCAGATAGGGTGCGTATTGGAGGAGGAGGAAAGGTTTTCACACTCAAACTGTTTTACGCCTCGTAACTAATCATCTTTCTTTGTGGTTTCTTCTACGTTATGGAACTATATAATTTAACATGTCTCGCACAGTCACATCATAAAAACAGGGTTGACGTCGAGCATCCATCACAGACATGTTATATAAACCTAACTTAGATTTCAAACACAGTTAATAATAAGCTTCCTAACCACTTAACTATCAGAAGCATAAATTCAACACTACTAATAAAATGGTAGCAGATTCAACACTTAGTTTGATCACACATATACTAACTCATCTTACACAAAACAACAGAAACGCAGTGATGACAAGAATCCCATTAACTGTTAAACTTCTAACTTCTGATTACCTAAAACTTTATGCGAAAATCATCAGAATTGCGCCAACCATCAAAAAGCAATCAAGTGAGATTATTACTGAACCAGTGACTGTACATTTATTTACACTTGGGTTAATAAAACTCATCTCAAGGATTTATGTCCTTCTGCTGAGTTTCATATCCGACTTCCCCAGAGAGAGAGTGGTCATCTGGGACGTCCCAGAGAGATCAGAGAGGAAGGGCTGACGGCTCCTAAAGTCCCTACATTTTATTTACCAAGTGATATTATGAGCACTTGGCAGATTAATGGACGGTAAGGAAGCACTTCTTCCTCGCAGTGCTAGTGGAATAGTGCCAGCAGCTGAACGGTGAGTTTTAAATATTATTTTACAGGTTTGAGATCTGAAGTGTATTAAAAATGTATAAAAATTCAGTTCATTGACACTTGTTTACGAATTCATAATAACATCAGTAGAAACAGTTAACACATTAACGCACATGCTGCTCAGAATATAAAGTTACTGTTGTCTATCTCTCAGTTTAAAGAGAAGCTCACAATATAACACAGCATGAGGAGGAGGCAGCAGGCAAGAGCTAGCTTGGCTCTGAAAAATGTTTACAGCGATGCAGCGTGACCGCATTGGTGCCGTTTCAGGGTTTTACTGTGAGTAAATGTTTTCCCACGCTGTTCACACCGGTACGGTTTCTCTCCAGTGTGAGTGCGCATGTGAATTTTTAGCTCCAATGATCGGGTAAAATTTTTCCCACACTGCTCACACCAGTATGGTTTCTCCCCCATGTGAACATATTTGTGACTTTTTAGATTACTTAAAGTAGAGAAAACCTTCCCACACTGGTCACAGCTGTACGGTTTCTCTCCAGCGTGAACTCTCCGATGATTCTTTGACTGTCCAGATGTTCTGAAGGATTTGTCACAGTGGTGTTGTTTAAGTCCATCTCTTCCTCTCTGTTTCTATAATAACAGACATACAGAGAGAAAGACGGTGAGTGAGATGTAATGGTGCAGCAAGTATGGAGGATAAATCCAGGTCAGTCTCTCTGTGTGACACAGACAGAGAAAGTGAACCCACAAGGTTCAGAAGGCAGAATTCATATTTAGAGATAAGGTTTAGTTAAGATATGATTACAGCTGTAGAATATGTGTGTTTGTACTTTTGTTGTCATATTTTCATGCAGATAAGAGGTACTTTGATTTAGCGTTAAAGCAAACACACACACACACAGAGCTTGATTTTCAGGACTGCATCACTTCATTCTGCAGAACAGTCAAATAAAGAAATCTTAAAGCTGAGTCTGTGAATTATTAAATATTCTGAATAAACACTAAAGAGAAAAATTCAGCTCCAAGATACTGCTACAACTTGGGGCTGCAGTCCTTTAACTACTAAACCTTCCAAATGTTTGTCTCAGTTTGCTTCTCTCTGTCTTTCTGTATCTTTCCTTCCTTCTTCTGCCCTCCTTTCCATGTAGCCCTCACTATGTTTTGCTCTCTATAGAAAACACACTGACAGTACAGATTTAGCGCCTCAGATTTGTTTACAAAGTCCCAGCAGGTCCAGCCGGACTCACATCTTTTCCTAGTAGTCCTACGATGGGGAAGTTTCTTTTTGGGATTTTCAGACAGAGTTAAAACTTAAAATGTCTGACAGCTTTCACAACAAGAGGAGCAAAAGCTCAGCAGTAAGTTAACTTTCCCTTAAGTGCAGAACTGGAAGCTAACTTCAGCGTCCTGACTCAACGGCGATCTGGACTCAACAAATCCCTCATCCTGTTGCCCGTACAGGCTGGATGTCAGCACACACACAGATTAAAAACCACCAGGGCACAAATCAGAGCGACCGCATGAACTTCTGCAGTAACATCCCCAGTTCATGTGGCAACCAATTAAACTGTCACACTGGTCCCAGAGCCAGGTACTCACCCCGGTGCTGACTTCCTGGCTGGTCCGGTCCCGGTCGCTCTTAGCAGGAACTCTCTGTCGGACGCTCATCCTCTTAGACGCTGCTGCCGCCATCTCGTCTCTATCAGACTGGACCCAGGAGCATGCGCTGCTCGTGCAGACTCTGTAGTGATGGGAGTACCAGCTGTTTGAAGGGGGGCGGATCTTTAGAGGTACAGAGCTACTGAAATGCAGTTTGCATCTAACCAGGAGTGCAGAAATAGTGTTTTTACAGATGAGTGCAGTCCTGCTATATCTTACAACATGTAGAGGAGTTACACAGATATTATAGAGAGAAGAGAAGAGGACAGGGTTAGAGAATGGAGAGTGCAAATCTGGGTTTCTGGTAAGGATGCAGAGTAGAACATTTGTTGGTTAATGTACAGTAACATAATTAAACAGTGTATCAATCAATATATTTGTCCCCGTAGGAAAGTTAGTTTGCAGCACAATCACATGGCATTTCATCACACGGCACAGAGACAACCAGCAGGCAGACTGAAACACACACCCCTCACCTTGCTACAGATTAGGCAGAGCAGCTGAGCCTCCGGGCTAAATGCCTTACCTGTTTAAAAACGTAATGTTTTTATGTACAAATAAAAATGTAGGTCTTGATTTTAGTGAGTAGTGGGAGGCAGTTCAAAAGAGGGGTCAGGGTTGTGTTTGACAGATTGTACAGGCTTTCCGTTGATAAAAGTAGAATAAGGTGATTGCAAGGGGCCCCTGCAAAGAAGACTGCAGCTGTGAGGAATGTGAAGGTCATCGTGTGACACGGCACATAAACTTGGAGTGCTTGTGTTGATGTAGTTTTATGCATTTGCAGTAATTTGTCTTATTAGTGTCACATTTCAGTCTTTAGACGTGTTGTAGGGTAGAATACACTATTGTTTCAATATTGACTATGTGTGGATGTGGAGGTGGAGGAGGTGGGTCTGACCCTAAGACCCTCAAGAGGAGGAGAAAGGCAGGATATGTCTGCTCAACTAACAACTAAAGCAGATACTTGGCCTCGGCCCATCGCCTATTTGAACAAACCTTAAAGATACCGATTTGATTTATGTTTCATCTCACAGCACAACAAACCTGTAAAGTATTGGAGACAATCACCTGGAGCCTACCTGGAGAAACCTGGAAAAGATGTGGCAGCCTCACTGAATGACGTGAAGGGAAAGTCATGAGAACAAAAACTGATCCTTGTAACTATTGGCCTACTGTACAGTTTTTAGTTGTTTCCATCAGTGACTGGTTGAAATGTCTTTTACTGGCATGTGTCCTGTGTGACACTGTGTGTAGCAAAGGGTTGTGAAGTGGTGAAAAAAACTCTTAATATAGACACACTTCTTCAAACAACAATAACATGGAAACATGTTTAAAGAAGAAAAAGATTGCTGGGAATCATATACTTATTTTTATGGTTGTGAAAAGATATATAAAAACAAAGTATACTTTAAATAACCAGGTTGCAAATAAACCACAAACATCAAACAACAAATGAAATTAACAGTATTAAATAGATCTGGATCAATAACCAGGTTTAAAAAAAGTTGAACACACAAACCAGTCAAACCATTAAATACACTCGTGCTGCCACCTGCTGGTAGAGAAGGGAAACATTTCACTCAAACAACAGCCTTTAGAGTGGAAACCAAATTAAAAATCAGTGCTGACAGTAACAACTCTGCACACACAGAAATGACTGAGGTTAAACTATCTAAGTAACGTCTCGGGTTACGTATGTAACCCTGGTTCCCCGAGAAGGGGAACGAGAGACTGCGTCGGTTACGACACTATGGGAACGCCTCTAGGCGAAGCAGGTCTGAACGTGAATGAAATCACTCCAATCCTATTGGCTTGTTGCTAGAACGGTAAGGTGTGACGGAATAACCGGAGGAGTATAAAGCACACCTGTACACACTCATCATTAGCTTAACTATGAAGCAGGTGTGGTGTCCGAACGATAATGCTGCGATGACGTGTTGAGAAGAAATCCGCTTGACACTGTTCTTGATTATAAAAGTTTATTACATCAAAGAATTCAGCATCAATTACAAGCTCTGCAGCAGCTTGGAGAGTGACCCAGCCCGATAACCACTCTGTCTCTCTGTACATCGAACACAGCTTATATAGGACATGTTTAGGTCTCTGCTAAATACCATATAAGGGCACAGTCCCTTTATACACACTAATCTCTACTCCCCCTACCACTGGGTCAGAGGTCAAATTCCATAGGAGGGTTCACTCTTTGCACACCCATCAATCATTACTTCCCCTTAAGGGTTCACTGTCCCTCTCTCCAGCTCTGGGTCAGGGGTCAAATTCCATATGTTATACACCACATATTCCCCCCTACGAGACTTAATTGAATCTCGAAAAACAAAAAGAGATAAATTTCTCCAACACATGCTTCTTGCATATTATTTTTAGCAGCATATCAACTTTATGGAGTGTGAGAACGAAAAACCTGTCCGGCAGCCTTCATTCCAAATTCCCTCCAAGACAATCTAGACAGGAAAATTTTCTCACGGCCCCTCTGCCTTAGGCAGCCACGCATGGTACTCCAGTCCAATTACTAAAAGACATCTTTATCAGTCAATGCAGAAATACGGTTTAGCCAATACATGTGAAAACCTCAGGAAATAAAACAAATCAAAACAATGTCCGAATTCAGGCTGGTCAACCCATCGGACCCTCCGACGGACCTTTCCCTGCCTAGACCCTATATCCCTAAGCATCAAGAAAAAGAAAAAAACCTGAGGTCCCCAAATATTAACTCCCTAAGTGAAAGTACAAGTCTTTACACAGTTAACACAAAAAGAATATAATTGTTAATTAAGTATTATTCATTCACATATGTATTCATATCTATATCAAAGTAGACACAGGAAGGTATTCCACTGCAGCTCCTCAGCAGTGTCGATGCAATCCAGACGTTTCCACACCGTCCTTGTCCAGAGTCCATTCATACTGTCCTTGTTTGAGTATTTGAATCCCCATCTGTACATCCCCATATACTCTGGAAGAAAAGAAAACACCAACCAGTATCTTGTTGCAAAATAACACATGAAAATTAAAACCTCAATGTATGAAAATACAAAGTAACATTAAAATGGATATCTTTCCATCATTACTTCATCTGGTTCCACTTCATCATCTCCATCTGAATCAGCCATAGTTAACAAAGGCATCTGAGTGTTCTCCCCAGGCATTACCACTCCAACCCATCTCAATATCATAGCTTTCGCAAAAGTCAATAGCACCGTACAAAAGCAAAACATCAAACACAGCGCTACAAAAGCTGCTACCAAAATCTGAACCACTACTGCTCCCACTGGTCCTAACTGATTTTGTAGCCAAGTATTTGCTGACCATCCAGCTCCCTCAGATTGACCAAACGCATCCCTTATACTCTTTAATGCATCTATAACACTAGTGATATTATCAGAACTATCTGGGATCAAAGTATAACAACCGTCTCCCGTCAAGTTCATAGCCACACACTGAGACTTCTTTGAGTATTTGACAGAAGATTAAACCCTCGTATAGTTTCATTTGCAAATCCCTGCAAAGTATAAGTAATATTATCAATGTGATCTGCCAAAAATGTTACACCATACCATGGAAAAAGTCCAAGTCCCCACTTCTCACCTAGACTTATCCTCCAATGGTAGGCTTCAAGATTATGAAATTGTGCCATGCTCCTTTTCACCCTATTTCCGACCCCCGGATCAGAATGAGTTATAGCAGGTGTCTCCCCTTTATGGATTGTAAACACCTCATACGGAAGTTTTAGCGTCGCCATGTAACAACATCCTATCCATCCATAAGGTAAGAATATATATGCCTTATCACCACAAACCCACCAAATATCTTGAAAATTCCCTATCGTCACATTGCCAGGCAAAAGCTGATCTCTTACCCTCAAAGTCCTTCCCTTCTTACTAGATGGCACAACAAAAGTTACTTCGTATGTGTTTCCTCTAACCTTACGGTCATGCTTATCCAAAGACATCATATACTCATCACACTCTGATATTCCCATAAACATCCCTGGCCCATCATACGTCTTATTTGAGCAAAAACAGCTACTAGCCCTCACAGGTCTTACCTCCATTGCTTCAGGAATTGCCGTTAACTTATTTTCCTTCTGATCTAACAAATTCACATAGGGTAATTCATTTATCCAAGAACAATTAAGTCTAGATCTAAACAACTGTGACGACCACGACATCACTATATCTGTTGACGATTGTTGCTGATACGACAGCCATGATCAAGCATAAGATTGGCACATAACGGATAGAGGTTGGGCCACTGTCTCTAAAATTGAATCCCACGTGCCTGGTGCGGGAACTTTCAACAGACATGGACCATCTAATTTCTTAACTGATCTTACAGAATGAGTTAACTGCTGGAACCATAAATTCCTACCTGCCCAGCCATCTGTAATTTTCAAAACAGAAGAATCAAACCCATATGCCTTCCATGTAGCTTCCCTCTTCTGTAACGAGCGATATTGATCAGTCATATCTTCTGGTATTTTATCAAAAGTAAAGAACTCATTTGGTACATGTGGGATAATATTCTGAACGGTTTCAGATGACTCCTCATCCTTTTCTTGCATTCTTTGCTCCCCAGTCTCCATCTGTAACGCAGGTTTCCGAGTTACGTCTACCAACTCCTTTACTTCCCGAAAAATTGTAGTCGGTGTCTGTGTCATATTTACAATGGTTGTTATTGCCTCTGTAACATTCATTTCTTCCACAGTTTCTGCTAAAACAATCACATTAGTTGATGTATTAACTCTTTCAGTTATTTCCAAGGGCCCAATGACAACTGTTCTCTGTGTATTATTCACTCTTGGAGTGACTACTGTAGGATACTGCTCCTGAACTCCTTTGGTGACTGTTGTCACTTCACCAGGCTCTAAATCTTTCATCATAAGTGTCACCTTACGGGTCACATAACCTTGTATCCAATAATTTTGAAACGGAACAAATTTAAAATCTGGCTTTAAATACGTACAACTATATTCCCATAGGTCTTCCCAGGTAGCATTACGTAAAACAAGTGAACAGTCACCGACAATTTTCCACCGCCTCATATCATTAAGCAGAGAATACTTTCTTTGACTAG